TTTTTTTTTTTTTTTTTTTTTTTGTTTTTTTTTTTGGAATAAAAACAAGAATCTTTGTCTTGTTTTAGTGTCTAATTATTGTGTTTGAAACGACAGCCACTGTTTTCAGACACCATGGCGGTTTAGATTTAGTGTTGACAATAAGCAACATCCAAAAAATAAAAAGGATTACTACAAAGGGATCCTATGAATCTATACTATCTCAATTTAATAAAATTATGAATAAAATATTGTTAATCTCGATTGATATTTTAGAAAAGTTTCATAAAATAAAATATTTATAAATGGTATTTTGTGATATTCGAGTAAATATTTATACATGAATATTTTAAATGTGAGTTGGGTATATGGATGAACTGAAATTACTTCTGAATGAGAGAGATTTTATGGTTACGTTGGTTAAGAAAGATATTAAAGAATTGAAATTTATTATTCATAGCAACATGATGCACTTTCTCTTTTTTGTTGGTTCGGTCATACGAACTTCAAATTTAAGTGTGTTGTAACAGTCCAAGCCTACCACTAACATATATTGTCCGCTTTGACCCATTACGTATCGCTTTGACCTACTACGTATCGCTGTCAATGTCAACCTCACAATTTTAAAACATGTCTACTAGGGAGAAGTTTAATTTCCACATCTTATAAGGAATGCTTCGTTTCTCTTTCCAACCAATTTGAGATCTCACAATCCACCTCTCTTGGGGCCCAGCGTCCTCACTAGCACACCGCTCGGTAACTGGCTCTGATACCATTTGTAACAGTCAAAGTCCATTGCTAATAGATATTGTCCGCTTTGGCCCGTTACGTATAGTCGTCAGCCTGACTGTTTTAAAACGTGTCTACTAGGGAGAGGTTTTCACACCATTATAAGGAATGTTTCATTCCTCTCTTCAACCGATGTGGAATCTCACAATCCACCCCTTTGGGGGGCCAGCGTCCTTGCTGGCACACCGTTTGGTAACTGGCTCTGATACCGTTTGTAATAGCCCAAGCCCACTTCTAATAAATATTGTCCGCTTTGACCCATTACATATCGATTTCAGTCAAAGATTTTAAAACACATCTATTAGAGAGAAGTTTCCACACCCTTATAAGAAATGTTTCGTTTCCTTCTTCAACCAATGTGGATCTCACATATGTTTTGTTTGAAACAATTCTATGTTTGTTGACATCTTAAAAACATTCTTAGAATCATGTGAGCGACGTCAGAGCATGCTGAAACAACCCAATATATGAAAATACTTTTCACTCTTGAAAGAATGTGAGTGAAGGCAAATCATGCTGAAACGACTCGTATGGGTCGATAAGGATAATTTTCACTCTTAGAAGCATACTGAAATGACTCGTGTTGTTTGGTGAGGATAGTCTTCCCTTTTAGAAACCCTTCAAACAAATCGGTAATGTGGGAATACCGAGACAATCAAACACTAATGTTTCGTCAGTTATTTCTGGAATAGTATAACGAAAAATATCTATCCATGTCTTAAGTGGATATCAAACAAATTAAATGAATTTAGGTGAGTGTACTTAATTCACCCGATTGAGTTGGGACAAATGGTTTTCTAAAATTAATTGCAAATGCTTATGAATTACATTTTCCCGAGAAACAAACAGATGATAAGCTGCATACCCAAGAAGGCATCGAAAATCAAAATACTCTTTGTTTCATAATAAAGATCTTTGTGGTGCTCATTCAATATCAATCCAACCATATCTATATATCTATGGAGATGAAATTTATGGTTATTTTTAGATGTTTTTTTGAAAAAAAAAACACTAAATTGATAAAAATATTCTCAAACTTTGTATTTGTTTAAAAAATATCTTTAAATTTTCCAAACTTTGAAGAAAATCTAAGAAATATCTGTTAATTTTGGATGGAAAATTTTAAAAAAAATTCTTACTATCAATATATGGACGAAACCCGTCTATCGACATCTCTTAGATTCTCTATGAACATTTTAAGATTCGTTTAGAAAGTTTGAGTACTTGAAATGTAGTACTAAAGTGAACCTATTTTTGAATTTTTTTTATGGAGATTTGGTGATTTATTGTTGTGTTAAAAGTTCAAGCTCACCGCTAGCAAATATTGTCTGTTTTGACCCATTATATATCGTTGTCCCACCTCACGGTTTTAAAATTTTGTCAGAGAAGTTTCTAAACTCTTCTAAGAAATGATTCGGCGTTCCCCTCTTCAACCGATGTGGGATCTCACAATACTAATGTGTCTCATTTCTGTTGCTCTACCCTTTTAGTCATTCCAAGATATGTAGGGGAAAATGAATGGTAGACAAATATTGAATGATTATTGGTTAAAAAATTAATTTTTTTGTTCATTAGAAATAAGAAGAAAAATAAAAATATATATGTGGCTATAAAATATTATTATTTTTCTTCATTTTAATGATATTGAGATTAAATAGAAAAATCCCACTTTTCTAAATTTGGGTCTCATCCTTGCAAGTGGAAAAGAAAATCCAAAATTCAAAAGGAAAAAAGCGTTGAAAAATAATCATGAAAGTGAAATGATATGAAGATGTTTTAAATTTGCAATAAATTTTGAATTGATCGAACAAGAACCCTCCCGCTTCACGACCTAAACCCGAAGCTTTTCGAGTGGGGATCTTCTTTTTTGTATACAACCCTAGAGAGTTGCAATGAGGTAGAGTCCTTCCAATCCCTTAATATTAGAGGAAAAGTGGAGACGGAGGAACCTTGCTCGGAAGGGACCCTCTTGTATCATACTTGACTCGAAGTTTGTAAGTTGAATAATATGAGAATTCTTAGTATTAGATATAGTTGAAATTGTTCGTAGTTTAATACAGTAGATGAAACAAAAAGTTACCAATAAGGGTCATTGGCTTGAGGTTGTGTTTAACTAGTAAAAAGTCTATAAATAGGGGACAGGGCAAGAGAGGATTTGGACGGGAACTGAAACATGGAATATAATCTCGTCCTCGACCCCATTTATCTAAGGGAGGAAAAAATATTTTCCACTCAGTCGTCTCTCATTTTTCACGGAGAATCTACTCTTCATGGGTCTACACAAACACCGATTCCATGGATAAAATAGATATTTATAGAGAAGTCATAAGATAAAGAAGGTAAGAGTGTCCTCACATGCTCACATCGATACACCAAGAACATAGTATTTAAAGACTTATAATCTTATTGAACATATTTGATCCCATAATTTGAATTTAACTTATAACGAGTCTATAACGTTTGTAGATGGTAATCTAAAAGGTCATCAAGTAGAGTGGATCAGGCAACATGTCCAATAGATGCATTGAAGCTAGGGGTATGTGTGGATGTTCTTGGAGGGTTGATGCATATTGGGTTAGGGAATCCAGTAGAAAATGCATGCTGTCCAGTGCTTGGAGGGCTGTTGGAAGTTGAAGCAGGCATAACTAAATATACCGTTCGTCACCTGATAGATTCAAACTCTTGCGTGGAAACCCTATGTACTTAGCAGGCACATGCCTTAACCACTCAGCCAAAGTGACAATTGTTTTTAAAGAAAAAGTACATGATAAAAAAGACAACTTATTATATATAAATCTGATAAGAATATCTTTCTAGCAACGCAGGCATAAACCAAGTTCAAGCATAGAGAGGCAACATGACCTCACACAAAGAAGAAGAATCCCATAGCAAAGCATGTAGGAGAAACTTTGATGAGGGAGATGCCAACGAACCAAGTACAACTCCTTACAGATTTGATGAGACTCCGCAACACTGAAATTAGCTGGAAGCCATCAAAGAGACCTAAAAGTCAATCTCAGCCTACAACACAGAGTTGTAAAGAGTCGATTGACAGAGACGTTACCAATTGAGTGGGGGAGGATGTCACGGTCATGATTGTCCAAAGCCTGTTGTCTAATGTCCTAGTCTTGCTTGTTCGAGTCGGTTGATAGAGATGTCAACTAATTGAGTGGGGGAAGATGTCACAGTCATGCATGTCCAAAACGTATTGTCTATGGCCTCATGACAGGTATCCTGGTCTTGCTTGTCCAAGACATGTTGTCTATGGTTGCATGCTCGTTTCAAACCCCTTTTACATGCTTTCATCCTAGATACGTCTTTACAATTTATCACTTCTTCCGGCCCAAGCCGTGGTATTCGTTTCTTTGCTTATAGTCAAACATTCATTTCTTCAATTCTTCAAACCGGTTTCCAATATATTTCTTCGCTCACATTTTCTAAACCTTTTCTCGTAATGTGACTTAAGGCCCACATATGTCGACGTTGTTCGTGACGTTCGAATTTCTCAAGGCTAACTTGTTCGCTATCAAAAGAACGCAATTGTCCCAAAAAAATATATGATAAAAATGAACTCGGCCAAAGTGACCTTTGGCTTTGAAGAAAAAATACATGATAAAAAAAGACAACTTATTATATATAAATATTTGTATTTTTTATCTAAAAAGTGTATATGCTCTCTTCGTCGCTTGAGAGATTCGAACTCTCGCGAGGAAACCCCATGTACTTAGCAGGCACACGCCTTAACCACTCGGCCAAAGCAACATTTGGCTTTGAGGAAAAAATACATGAAAAAAGACAACTTATTAAATATAAATATTTGTATTTTTCATAAAAATGTATATACTCTATTCGTCGCCTGAGAGATTCGAACTCTCGCAGGGAAACCCCATGTACTTAGCAGGCACACGCCTTAACCACTTGGCCAAAGCGACATTTGGCATTGAAGAAAAAATACATGAAAAAAGACAACTTATTAAATATAAATATTTGTATTTTTCATAAAAATGTATATGCTCTATTCGTCGCCTGAGAGATTCGAACTCTCGCGGGGAAACCCCATGTACTTAGCAGGCACACGCCTTAACCACTCGGCCAAAGCGACGTTTGGCTTTGAAGAAAAAATACATGATAAAAAAGACAACTTATTATATATAAATATTTGTATTTTTCATCTAAAGAGTGTATATACTCTGTTCGTCGCCTGAGAGATTCGAACTCTCGCGGGGAAACCCCATGTACTTAGCAGGCACACGCCTTAACCACTCGGCCAAAGCGACATTTGGCTTTGAAGAAAAAATACATGATAAAAAAGACAACTTATTATATATAAATATTTGTATTTTTCATCTAAAGAGTGTATATACTCTGTTCGTCGCCTGAGAGATTCGAACTCTCGCGGGGAAACCCCATGTACTTAGCAGGCACACGCCTTAACCACTCGGCCAAAGCGACATTTGGCTTTGAAGAAAAAATACATGATAAAAAAGACAACTTATTATATATAAATATTTGTATTTTTCATCTAAAGAGTGTATATACTCTGTTCGTCGCCTGAGAGATTCGAACTCTCGCGGGGAAACCCCATGTACTTAGCAGGCACACGCCTTAACCACTCGGCCAAAGCGACGTTTGGCTTTGAAGAAAAAATACATGATAAAAAAGACAACTTATTATATATAAATATTTGTATTTTTCATCTAAAGAGTGTATATACTCTGTTCGTCGCCTGAGAGATTCGAACTCTCGCGGGGAAACCCCATGTACTTAGCAGGCACACGCCTTAACCACTCGGCCAAAGCGACGTTTGGCTTTGAAGAAAAAATACATGATAAAAAAGACAACTTATTATATATAAATATTTGTATTTTTCATCTAAAGAGTGTATATACTCTGTTCGTCGCCTGAGAGATTCGAACTCTCGCGGGGAAACCCCATGTACTTAGCAGGCACACGCCTTAACCACTCGGCCAAAGCGACATTTGGCATTGAAGAAAAAATACATGATAAAAAAGACAACTTATTATATCTTTGTTCGAGCATTCTAGGTCTCTATTCATCTTAGGGCGGCAAAGCTTCCAAGGTTATGGTCATTGTTGGTTGATATCAATTAGGAGGTTTACATTGATGCCTATAATGCTTGCTCTGATCTCGCTACAAAGACAAACAGCAGCTTCAAGGTCAGCTAGCCCTTGAATCAAATTACAATAAGGAGTTTCAGGATGAGGGTAAGCACTCTAGCACATGCGTCTATCTAAAAAGTGTTAAAAGATCATCACTAGTTCAATAGAGTCACGAACCCATAAAGATATTTTAGAAATAAATATATCTAAATATTTGAAGAATAAATCGTCTAGCTTCTAATTATAAATACCCTATAACTCTCCACCCTACTATGTTTTTAGTCCCAAGCAATCTCAAACAAAGCAAAGTAGTTTTTAGAGGGTTTTATAATCTCTTATTGATTGACCTTAATAAAGAGTGATCATTACCTAGATTGCTGCCGAAATCGAGCATTCACCCGAGCAAGGACACGGGAACCTGGGCTTGGCTTTGGCCTTGTTCTAGGGTGAGAACATGTGCCACAAGCAATGAGAAGGGAAAAGGAGAGAAGGGAAAAGGAGAGAAGGTTGGGATAGAAGAACAAAGAAATCAAACAAGATCAGATGCATGGACAACTTTGTCAGAATCATCAACGCTAAATTCATCTTAACAAGACAAATGATGCACCAGCCGAGAATCAAACTCGAGTTTGTACCGTGGCAGAGTATTATTATACCACTAGACCACTAGTGCTCGTTGAATATCTCATTTATTTAAATAAAGCATAATTTAATTATTTAAATTCGATAAGAATCTTAACCATTTTATTTTATTCATACAACTTTTAATCATATCAATCAAATTTTGTAATTTTCACTACGTTAAGAATTTGTTTTGTTCCCCCTTGTCCCGTTGACAAGACACTTCGTCACATACTCAGTAACGTTATGATGCATGATCAATCATAAACTACATATAATTACAAAGAAAGCACAAATACTTTTTTTACTACATTTTTCACTTTTTACAAAGTTAAAATACATGAGCTATATATAACCTCAAAATGAAACCCTTCCACTTCCCCTTCCCCTTCCCCGAGTCATTCCCGAGTCATTTTGGTGTAGCCATAAACATCAGCAAACTGATTCTTTTGAGAAAGCAAGCGATTTAGATATGGAAAAGTGGGCATAGACAAAGGGCATCACACCCCATATGTTCATTTTATTTATACACACTGATAGCCATTTTTGATATACCAGACCAGAAGCATGTTCAACCAAGTATATTCAGTAAACTGTAAACATATTCAAAGGTATACAAACTACCCAATACCTGCACCGCACTGAAATGCTGTGTTTTTAACAAAGAAATGCTGCACTTGAGACAACTCTTACTATTCTTCTATGAACTCGCACCAAAAACTCGGATTCTCTGTTCTATCGGAACCCGACAACACGGGCATGCTGCTTTACCCTTTTTCCCGTAACTATCACTGCAACTCGCACACAGAACTTGGTGAGCGCAAGGTAAGAAAACAATGGAGACCTCACCTCTCATACATATCATGCATTCGCGGTCGTGGTTGACGCCTTCCTCCGTTGATTCCTCATAGCTATCTAATTCCCGAAGCATTTTCGCGATTGTTTCTCCCTGGGGTTTTACGCCCTCGGAATTCCCTCTAGGTGTGTTACTGGAGGGTTGGTGTGAGTCAATAGATTGTGCAGATGCCTTTAGACGCAAAAGTTCTTGTTCAAGCCTTTGGAGATCATCCTTGTGGCGCTGGAAATCTATCTCTATCTTAAGTCGTAATGCCTCGAGCTTTCTTTTACTACTCGCCTCTGCTGCCTCTTTACGAAGTCTTTCGTCTTCCACTTGTGCCATGGCAGCTTCCTTAGCATTCAACTCCTGCCTCCACCTAGCCTGTAAATACGTCATCATTTGCACAGTAGATGATAATGAAGACTATATGAAGCGATTTCAGACTCGAGAAAATAATCATCAATAAATAACGTGCTATTTGTTAATTGCCAAATGATGAAGGAAGGGCAAGGTGTTTGATTGAACAAGGAATGCAGGACAAATTGACAGCTACAATTCAACTATCTTAAGAATAACTTTCATAACTCCATCTCAGGCAAACATTTGATTGAACATTTAAAAGAAAAAAGAAAAGAGTGATTAGAATCAAAATTACCATATACTATATGCATAATACAGAACAAACAAAAATGCAGATTCTTTGACAAATAACTAAAGCAAGGGTATGAACATCACAGAAGCAGAATCACTATGGTTCCGTGAGTCGGAAATTGGCTGAGCGATAAAAATTATAATAACAAGTTTCACATGGCAGTTCCTGTAACAGCTCAAGTCCACCACTAGCAGGTATTATCCTCTTTGGACTTTCTCTTTCGGGTTTCCCCTCAAGGTTTCTAAAACACGTCTGCAAGGGAGAGATTTCGACACCCTTATAAATAATGCTTTGTTTTCCTCTCCAACCGATGTAGGATCTCACAATCCACCCCCCCTTCAGGACCCAACGTCCTCCCTAGCACTCATTCTCTTCTCCAATCGATGTGGGACCCCTCAATTCACCCTCTTTCAGGGCCCAGTGTCCTTGCTGACACACCTCCCCGTGTCCACCCCCCTTTGGATCTTAGCCTCCTTCTTGGCACATCACCCGGTGTCTGGCTCTAATACCATTTGTAACAACCCAAGCCGACCGTTAGCAGATATTGTCCTCTTTGGACTTTTCCCTTCGAGCTTTCCTCAAGGTTTTTAAAACGCATCTACTAAGTAGAGGTTTCCACACCCTTATAAAGAATATTTCGTTCTCCTCCCCAACCGATGTGGGATCTCACAGTTCCAACTTGGAACTTGTAATGAAACATTATTTCATGTGATATGAAAAACAAGCAAGAATAAAGAACAGCCTCGTAACTGTAATGATTTTGAATCATAGCCTTCAATGTTCAGTTGTCAACCTCAGATGACACAATCAGCAAAAAAACTAAGACCTCTTGGGTTATATGACAATGCAAACCTTGGATTATGGAACTATTTTCTGACAATATCAAGCCCACAGCTCCCAATCCAGTTGGGTGGTCAGAAAAATAGTAAATCATTAGGATGAAAGAGGGGTAAACTGACCACTAATCCTATCCTAAATGGAGCTGACAGCTGATTTACGACACCATGCTATTATATGACTTGTGTTGATTCATTGTTCATTGTTTGTGTAAATATATAACTATTTCTAACTTGAATATGCTGTTTTAATTGAATATCAAACAACAGGAATGGCCTAGAAATTAGGACAGTGTAAGAGGAACAGGAAAGAAAGATGATTTCTTACCTCAGCCTCTTTTTGAGCTACCTTGATCATCTCCATTTCATCTTGCAACCTTGAAATCTTATCCTTCTCCTCTGCAATCTGCTCCTGTAATTTTGTTTTTTGCTTTTCCCAGGCCAATAGTCTCTTTAAGCTTTTTTTCTCCCTCTTTGCAACCTCCAAACAAGTTGTGACAGACTCGGAGGCACTTAACTTTAAAGCTTCCATCTCTGCTCTAATTTCTGCATTTTCTGTCTCAAGTCGTCGTACTGTTGAATTTGCACGGTCCACCTGACCACTGGCCTTTCTCAACGCATTCTCCATCTCAGATAGCCGTTTCATTGTTGTGTCCTCCAAAGTCGGTTTGCCATTTTTCATGCGTTGGGTCTCTTCCCTTTCTATCCTCAACGTTTTAAGCTCCGTGAGATCATGACTCAGTTTCCTAGCAGCTTGCATTGCCTTTTGATGCGCCCAATCTTTCCGCTCCTTCACTTGTCTCTCAAGCTCTTTAATCTGATGCAAGAGATTTACAATCACTTCATCCTTTTTATCGTCTGCCACAAAATCCAAATTCTCATAAATCTTCAAATCGCGAAATTTATTCAACATTGAATTTACAGCATCTTGGTTCTTTGGAATCTGGGACTCCTCACTTTTCTCCACTGGAACTACCGAAGCACCTTGTACGACAGGGGGAATTTCACTTGGCAAGACAGTTGCACAAGCTTGAGTCTGTGCTGTAAGGTGTTTCGAGTTTGCTCGAAAACCAGCAGCAAATGCAGCCACATTCCTCTTCAACAACGACTTCATTGAAGGAGAAAGATTAAACCTCTTTGGACACTCAATATCTCTATGTAAATCCATATCAGGAGAATAAGACAGAAAACCATTAGCAGAGAATTCAGAACCTCCACTGTTTCCAAAACCTGAACCACCATGAAATTTACAAAGAGATGGTTCCAAAAATCCCACTGGTTGGTTACTAACATTCTCACCATTGCCACCAGATGCGTCACCATTAACATTACTTGGTGCTGAAGGAAGCACCGGAATTTCCATGGTGCTTGCCCGACCGACATGAAGATCACTCATAAGCAAACACCACATAGCATCTCCTTTAGTCAACTGTGGCCTAACTTGTTGCAACAAACATACCATACCAGCCAAAGAATACTCCTGCAATTGCCTTATATCAGAGAACGCAGGCTCAGGATCATCCACAACCAAATTAGCATTAACATTATCAATAGCAATACCATTACCATTACCGATGGGTCCAATACCAACACCATCAGCAGAAGCGGCCGCAGCAGCGGCAGCGGCAGCAGCAGAAGCAGCTGCAACAGCCTCGCTGCTAGCACTATCAGAGTTGTTGTTACCATTCAAAAACGACAGCGAATTATGCAGCACATTTGTTAGAACATCCATGGTACCATAGCAATGCCCATTTTGCAAAATCGCCCTCATCGCAGCATCCTCATCATAACCCAATGCAACAAGCTTAGAAATAGCTTCAGTATAAACAAATTGCAAATTCTTCATCAAAATTTCCTCCAATTGCTCCTCCGTACAGTAACCCCATCCAAGATCATCCAAGCTGGAACCGGAATTACAGTTTGAGGTAACAGCGTTATCCTGGTTCGAATCGTCAAGCCCTATATGATAATCCAACGGCTTGGAACCCGATTCAAGTACAGATTTGGGAAGTGAAGCTCGTTCTTGGTGACAACACGGATCGAATTCGGGTTTTACCGATCGAGGCCTCCGATTCGTACGAACATGCTTATCTCTCACCGTGCAACCCATTTACAATCGTTTGAAAATACGAATGAAAACAAGGGAAACAAAACTCAAAGAAGAGATTGAAGAGTCGTGGAGATTTACAGTCGATTGAGAAACTGATAGTATTTCAATCAAAATTGGAACGTAATTAATGAAATTATTGATGAATAACCAGAGAAACTCACTGGGTTTGAAGAAGATCGGCGATTGATTTGGTGTGAGTTGCTGAAATTGAAATGGGGGCAGTGCGCAAGAGAGAGAAAGGTATATAATGGGGAGGATGAAGAGAGAAGAGAAAGGACATGCAGAAGAGCTTATTCCGGGTCGGGTATGCACAAACCCTCTGTCCAAACAAGTAAATCAGCAAGACCAAGTATGACCAATTGTGGCCGTCTTATTTAATAATTTTGGATTCTAATAATTTTAGAGGAACAATATCAAAAAAGTGAATTAAACCATGGTAATCGTCTCTCGTAAGAAATCGTTATAGCAAACATGAGCTGGAATGAACAATGACATTGAGTTTCGTTCATGAGTTCGAGTCAGGTAGCATTCAGGTCTTCAGTAATGTCTCGTGAAGCTCAATATCGTTGTTTGGTCCAAAATCAATGAGAATGAAAAAATTTATACTTCTAATGTCTTGTTTAAGGAGAATTTAACCTGGTTTAGGTACGCTCAGTTTAACATGCATATTATCGATGTATCAATTTGTTCTCTACGTCTTGGAAAATTAGAGTAACTTCTTGGTTGAATAAGATGCATGCTTTAATCAGTTGGGTGTTCATGAGGCGTCGTAGGAATGAAATTTGGATTAAAATTGGATTTCACGACATAGAATGGATCAAAAAAACTGAACATGTTTCTAATACTGATAGCAACCCCCTTATTGATCAGCCCCATCCGGGAATACTCCTCTTGGTTTCCAAGTGACAAAGAAAGAATAGGAGAAAAGAGTGTCGTATTCGTATGGGTCATGTTAATTTCTAACCTCTCAATTAATGACAACTTAACCAAGTCGAGCTATATTCGTTTTAACAGACTTTAACCGGTTTAGATGTTCACAAGGTGTCATAGGAATGAAGAGGACTACTTCTTCATGCCCACTATATTTTTCATTAAATTTTAATTTTGCGACATGGAATGGATCAAAGAACTGAACACGTTTCCAATACCAACATTAGTTCCCCTCCCGCTCAATCCACCCCGAGAATACTGCGTGTGATTTCCAAGAAGTGAATAGAAGAAAAGAGGGTAGAATTTGTATGGTCACATTAACTTTTAGCCTCTCGACGATTGACGATTGACGACAACTTAATCCATGGGTCACCATTGGGTAGGATTTATAAGTGTCGACCCACTATGCACTATGCCTGAAGGCTGGCCCAAATAGACGAGGCCTTAATGCGCTTGAGCCCATGGCCATCGCTTAACACGACGTCGTACGAATCATTCTTGGCTGCCTCACTTGGTCCAGTGCTCGTCGTGCTTGGAGGGAATCAGAGGTTTTTCGGAGCAGAAAGCTCCATTTCATCACTCCACAGTCTCCCTGTTTGTCGAAAGTAAACACTCTCAACGTTCATAATCTTCTTATGTTTCCAATTTCTAAGTTCCTTTCTGGATAATGAATCATGATCAAGGCTACTGCTCAATCTTGGGTTCGATTGAATTTCTGATTCACTGTCTTCTTCCACTTCAAATTCTCATGTTCTTCCTGTGTTCTGGGTTTCTCTTCTTCACCGATACTTTTTGCTTTTGATTTTAGAATATAATGAATGAATGTTTCTTATACCAACTTGTTTTCAGCTGGGTGTTGTCGGGATTATACAATTAAACATCCTTTACAATGATTAGATGAAAAAAAGAGGAAAAAAAATCCCTTTGAGTTACTGTAGTTGTCTTCAATATGACTTTGATTGTTGCTGTGCTTAACTAAAAGCCATTTGTTTCGTTCTAGTTTGATAACCATTGAAATTTGATTAAGATTTCAGAATCATGTTCAAAATATGATAGATGTGATATCCCCATCGGTTGGGGAGGAGAACGAAACACCCTTTATAAGGGTGTGGAAACCTCTCCCTAGCAGACATGTTTTAAAAACCTTGAGGGTAAGCCTGAAAGGGAAAGCCCAACGAGGACAATATCTGCTAGCAGTAGGCCTGGACCGTTACAAACGGTATCAGAGCCAGACACTGGGCGATGTGCCAACGAGGAGGTTGGGTGGGCCCCCAAAGGCCAGTGAAGACAATGGTTCCTGAAGGGGGGTGGATTCTGACATCCTACATCGGTTGGGGAGGAGAACGAAACACCCTTTATAAGGGCGGGGAAACGATGGATTTGGTAGGGGTCCCACATTGATTGGAGAAAAGAACGAGTGCCAGCGAAGACGCTGGGCCCTGAAAGGGGGTGGATTGTGACATCCCACATCGATTGGGGAGGAGAATGAAACACCGTTTATAAGGGCGTGGAAACCTCTCCCTAGCAGACGCGTTTTAAAAACCTTGAGGGTAAGCACGAAAGTGAAAGCCCAAAGAGGACAATATCTACTAACGGTGGGCCTACGCAGTGACAATCACATAGTACATGTTACAATTACTAGAAAAGATTACATATTACATGTTATTTTAGAAGCATTCTTTTCGTCGAACTCGAAATAAAATTGTTATCAAATTGAGTCTTAGCGGTGTAATTTTTCATTTGAAGTCCCATCAACCTTTGTTTCCAGCATAGGCCAGCACAATGGAAGACAGTAAAAACCATTCTTCTGAAGAAACTACAAAGGGGTTTGCTAAAAGCACCAAAGATCAAAAACTAAATGTGTATGTGTGGGACATGGATGAAACTATCATCCTGCTCAAGTCTTTGTTGAATGGGACATATGCTGAGGCTTTTTGTGGTTCAAAGGATATTAAAAGGGGTGAAGAACTTGGCAAAATTTGGGAGACGCAGATTCTTGATCTGTGTGATCATCACTTCTTCTATGAACAAGTAAGGTTGAGATTTCTTTCCATAATCATGTTCAAACAACTCCACGATATAATGTCTCGAAAGTTGAAGTCCTTGTTACATTTTTATGCAGATAGAAAACTATAATCAACCGTTCATTGATGCATTGAGTGAATATGATGACGGCCGGGATCTTTCCAATTATGATTTTGACCAAGATGGGTTTGATCCACCATATGATGATGGAAACAAAAGAAAATTGGCTTTTAGGCAACGTGCTATAGCCAATAAGTACAAAGAGGTATCAGGAAATCGTCGTGTTTGTATTTTCATTGACTTTTTTCAGCATCGGGATGTTTTCTATACTAGAAAGATAATGATGTCTAGGCTTTGCTCCTTTTTGCTTTCAACTAGTCATATAACTTATTGTCTGTTTCTTACTGTTTGGAGCTCTTACTTTTTGATGTAGTTTCAATGTTATTCTAGATGGGTGCTGTAAAAGTCTTTTAGATGTTCTTCTACACATACATTATGGGGGAAAATTCAATATTTACCACTGTACTTTGACTCATTGAATCAGTTTAAACTTCAGCTTTCAATTTGTTAAATCCTAAAGTTGAATAGGTGGTGAAATCAATGCCTTCAATTAGTTAAGCTTCTATCTTCTTGAAAATTTCTGGTTAGTAATGAGTATTATGAGATCTCATATCGGTTAGAGAGGAGAACAAAACATTCTTTATAAGGGCGTGGAAACCTCTCCTTAGCAGACGCGTTTTAAAAACCGTGAGGGGAAGCTCGAAAGGGAAAACCCAAAGAGGACAATATCTACTAGTGGTGGGCTTGAACTGTCACAAAAGGTATTAGATTCAGACACCGAACGGTCTACCAGCAAGGATGCTGAGCCTCGAAGGGGTGGACACTGAGCGGTGTGCCAACAAAGACACTGAGCACCGTAGGGGAGTGGACACCGAGCGGTGTGCGAGTGATGACGTTGAGCCTTGAATAAGGGTGAATTTGTGAGATCCTACATCGATTGGAGAGTGGAACGAGTGCCAGCGAGGAAGCTTCTCTCGAAAGGGGTGGATTGTGAGATCCCACATTGGTTAGAGAGAGAGTGAAACATTCTTTATAAGGGTGTGGAAACCTCTTCCTAAGAGACGTGTTTTAAAAACCTTGAGGTAAAGCCCGAAAGGGAAAGCCCAAAGAGGATAATATCTGCTAGCGGTGGACTTGGACTGTTACAGTATTCTTGTGGTTGGACAAAAGTAATTTTGTGATTATCGATTTTTCTAGTTATATTTGATGTTTCTTAACTGGATAAGAGCATGTGGTTTGATTTAAAAGAAATACTAGATTTAATACGCTACTATATCATGTGCTTATGCATTTAAACTGGATGTTTATGGATGTGGAAAAGGTAGATAGCTACCGTCAAATGGATCTTTAACTTTTGGTTTTTCCTTTTGAAGATGTGCATCATCTTTTTCTTATCCCAAAGAACACATTTTAAAAACTGTTTGCTTCTCCAGGGCCTGCAGAATATCTTTGATGAGCAGAAGCTGAAGTTCTGGGAAGAGTTATATGAAATGACTGATGTCTATACAGATAGATGGTTCTCCTCAGGTATTCTACTCATCGTGATGTAGCTTTGAACCGTTTGATGCTCTCTTTTGATGATTTTGATGTGTGAACCGTTTGATGCTCTCTTTTGATGATTTTGATGTGTGCTATATACCCTTACATACTCGAACAGTTCAAGTATTTCATTTCCTTTTATGAAGGAGATAGGCAATGTCGTGTAAAAGGATTACAATTTCAGTAGACTACATTATCCTAAATTGTTGAATTTTGCATTGGAAATAAGCACTAGCATTTCTTGCCGCTACTCCCCATTAACTCCAAGGTTTTTAAAACGCGTCTGCTAAAGAGAGGTTTCCACACCCTTATAAGGAATACTGTTGTTCCCCTCTTCAATCGATGTGGGATCTCACAATCCATCCCCCTTCGAGGCTTAGCATCCTTGTTGGCACTCATTCCTCTCTCCAATTGACGTGAGATCTCATAATCCACCTGTCTTTGGAGTCCAGCTTCCTCGTTGGCACACCACTCGATGTCCACCTCCTTCAAGGTCTCAGCGTCCTTGCTGGCACACCACCTAGTGTCTGGCTTTGATACCATTTGTAACTGTCCAAGCCCACCATTAATATATATTATCCTCCTTGGGCTTTCCCTTTCGGGCTTCCCCTCAAGATTTTTAAAACGTGTCTGCTAGGGAGGGGATTCCACACCCTTATAAATAATGTTTCGTTCCCCTCTCCAACCGATATGGGATCTCATAATCCACCCCCTTTCGGGGTTTAGCATTCTCGCTGGCACTTGTTCCTCTCTCCAATTGATGTGGGATCTCACAATCTACCCACCTTCGGGGCTCAACATCCTCGCAGGCATACCGCCTAGTGTCTGGCTCTGATACCATCTGTAATAGCCGAAGCCCACCGCTAGCAGATATTGTTCTCTTTGAGCTTTCACTTTCGGGCTTCCCTTCAAGATTTTTAAAATGCATCTACTAGGGAGAGGTTTCCACACCCTTATAAAGAATGCTTCGTTTCTCTCTCCAACCGATTGCAATCGCACTTGAGGAAATCTTGCATAGTAGTTGACACATGGGTGCAATCTTGCATAGTAGTTGACACATGGGTGCAATCTTGCGTACTAAACTATATCTGATATTTGGACAATATTTTTAATACCACCACCCACCGTTCTCTATTGTACTTAATCCTCTAGCTAAAGTTTCTGTTGCTTCTCTATACACCTGCAAATGGTCACTCTTATTTTTCGCTATTCAAGCACGAGCTTTCTTGGAGGAGTGTGCATTTTCAGACGAACCACCACTCGTGTCTGCTGATCGGACACGTAACAGTACTTCTAGAAGTTCTCAACATGTTAATATCTTGGTGACTTCTGGATCATTGATACCCAGCCTTGTGAAATGCTTACTATTTCGGCTTGATCATCTAATAACACCCGGAAATGGTGAGTCACTCCCTTTTTAATCTCTTTTTGATGTTTCCTTCAACTTATTTACAAAGTTGTCTTAATTATCGACTTCAAATCGGTTACTTTCCAGTTTACAGTTCGTGGGAAGTAGGAAAACTACAATGTTTCAAATGGATCAAGGAGCGTTTTAACAAGACGAATGTTCGTTTCTGCGTACTAGGCGACGGATGGGAAGAGTGCGAAGCTGCACAGTCCTTGAAATGGCCATTTGTTAAGATTGAGCTGCAACCTGGAAGCCCTCACAGATTTCCTGGTCTGTCTTTGAAAACACTTGGCTTTTACTTCTCTGTTATTTATGGTAACTCTGATTCATCAAGTGATGAAGAATAGCTCACATAATCGGTAACAGATAAGCTAATCATTTTCCATGCTTCATCTCTGTGTTCTTATGAAATACAAGAGTTAAGTATTATGGCTGTCTTTTATGTTCAAAGATGATATGCATAATCACAATCATTAGCCGGCCATAATAAGTCTGTATTTTTCTTCCATACTGTACTGTACTACTGCTTGTATTGATCAATATTCAGTGGCTGTAATCTTTGTTCTGAGAATGCAAAACTTGGTTATCTTGAGCTGTTGTTTGCATTTGGGATGAGCTAAATTTAAGCTTCGAGGTTTGTATAGTTTTCTTGAGAACTCTGCTTTGATTTGAATGGTTTCTTTGGAGTCAACTTATAATGAATGACTGTCTTGCCTGCAACTTCATGAACTCATTTTGTGGATCATTGTGGCCGTTACTTCCCTATTAGTAGTCGAAGCTCACCGCTAGCAGATATCATCTTCTTTGAGCTTTCACTCGAGGTTTTAAAATGTGTTTGCTAGGGAGAGGTTTTCACACTTTTATAAAAAATACTTCGTTTCTCTTTTTAACCGACGTGGGATCTCACAATCCGCCCCCTCGGGGCCAGTGTCCTTGCTGACACTCGTTCCCTTCTCCAATGGATGTGGGATCTCACATCCATATGCTCGGTTTAAGATTAAAACATCTTAGTATTCAGATCGACTAACCTAGTAGGCAACAATTCACTCGTCTCAATGTTTTAGTTTATTAAGAAAGACAAAGATATGTTATTATTGGAGCGAAGCTATGAGACAGATAGGGAGTTGAGTGCCAAACCCAAATCCCCAAGCTTGATATCAAGCAATATTAGTAGAAAAGAAATGTGCACCTTGTTAATATAAATAGTAACTTTCAATTGTTTTAAGTCTTTCTTAGTCATTATATCTTCAGATCGCTCATAAGTTCATTTATATATTCCTCTTCTATTGTGTATCACATACCAGAGTAGAAAGTTATGATATTAAAATTTAAATTTTTGAAAATTGTATTAAACATTATATTATATTTTTATTGAAATATTAGTTGAAAAATTCCCTTGGTAGAATAATGGATCAACAAAACAGAGAAATAACAACACGTGGGACATTAAAGGGCATGCATGGCTGACAAATGGCAACCAACGTGTAATGCTTTTAAACCCTTTTGATCACTATAAAATCTGTCTTTTATCATTTTCGAATGATTGAAAATTGGGTTTTTTAGTGCAAGAAATTGACACTTAGAACGCAAACATAATGCAGTCTGCAATGGAGAAGCTCAGCAATATGGGAAGTGTTGCCAAAAAGAAGCTCAAAATTTGTAGAGCCAAACTCAACGAGAAGGTGCAGAAAGCGTCGGCAAAGACGGCGGAGGAGAGAAAGATTGTGGAGGAGAGGAGGAAGGCGGCGGAGGCGGAGACGAAGCGGGAGCTACACGAGGCGAAAGCTCGACATGCTGCTCAAAAGCTAAGAACTAGGCAGTCACATGTACTTGGCCACCGTTTACACCATCAGCCACCGGTGGAGGAGGGCAGCGCCGCCAATGTTCCGGCTTATCCTATAGCTAGCCCGGAGGGCTACTACCCTGGACATAGAATTTAACCTTTCTAGAACTTATTGATGTAATTATTGCATTATTGGGTGATTAAGAATATGTACTATTATGAGTTACTACGTATTATGTTAAAGATGATCGGTATTATGAGATCTTACATCGGTTTAGAGAGGAAAACGAACGACGTGTTTTAAAACTGAAGTCAAAGTGGATAATATCTAATAGTTATGTACTCGAGATGTAGCAGGCAATGAGTTATATTAAAAATGATCGGTCTTGATTGTATTCATTTTCTTCATTTGGGTCTTTTTCTTTGTCTAAAATATAATTTAATATATTTTAAAATATATTTTATATGTCGATAATGGTAGGTAATTTCTTCTAATTGGTTGATAATTTCTTCTAAAGATGTTGATTTAAATATAATTTAACTGATTAAATTAAAATATAATATTGAGAATAGGATTAAATTTTCAATTTTTTTTATTTGAAAAGTTGATAGTTTTGAGATTTTGTTGGACAATTCAAGGCCATAATTATTACTTGATTTCTTTAGGTACAAGTTTAGTTCGTCAATTACTTCATTAATCTTCATCTTAGTTGGATAATTTCTTTTATGAATAGCATTTATATTTAATCATATGAAACATTGGTTGAAGCACCAAGTTCGGATTCGACAAGACGTAGTTGGATGCCGGCGCTCGACTCAAGTGCCCTTCGAACATTGAAATTGAGTCGATCTTTAGTTCAACCATTTGTGATCTAATTTGAGTAGTAAAAGATATCTGGATCGGTTAAGTAATGTGTTGTTTGGTTATCAAATAATAGAGTTCTAAAAGGGATAGATATTCCATATTTTACCATCTATTTACTTTATACTAAATTCAATTTATTAATGGTAAGATATTAGTTGGTATTCATTTGTGAGATTCTACATCGGTTGGGGAGGAGAACGAAACATCCTTTATAGGATGTGGAAATCTCTACCTAACAGACATTATAAAAAATCTTGAGAGGAAGCCCAGATCAATAAGCAGGACAATATCTATTAGCAGTGGGTCTGGACCGTTACATATATGTTCATTTTTAATATACGATTCTGAGGATCCGACGAAATTTGGAAATAGCTATCAAATCACAACTCTATTGGATGGCATATTTGGGAAGCTTCCAATAATTAATAAAACCAATTGTCTTCGTACCAACCCAAGTGCTTGACAAACTACTATGCCCCTTGTCTTTTCAAAACCATGTTCTCTAGTTTGTGTGAATGGAATATAGTTAATACCCGTTTGGTTAAATATCGCTATCAGCTTCACAATTTTAAAATGTATCTATTATAAATAGGTTTCTACACCTTTATAAAAAAATGTTTTGTTGCCTCACGATTTTGTTACATTGCTAGTACACCGTCCGATGTCTAACTTTGATACTCACTGCTAACATATATTGTTCGTTTTGGCCCATTACGTATTATCATCAGCTTCACGATTTTAAAATGTATCTATTAGAGAGAGGTTTACACACATTTATTAGGAATGTTTCGTTCTCCTCTCCATGTAATTTTTTTTTTTACCATTTTGATGAATTTTCGTTTGAAGAATTGTTAAAATAGAGTAATAGTACACATTTAATGAATTATAAAACATGTTTGTTAGAAATTGATAAGAAGAGACGTTTTTTTTTGTTGAGATTATTCAATTTTACAAAATTACTCAATGGTTGAATAATGACTTTATGGATACTTCAAAAATATTAGGTGAATTAGTGAAAATTAAATATTTTTATGAGTCTCAAATTCAATTCAATAAAAATTAAAATTTAGAATAAATGAATCGTTATTATTCTAAACGTAAACGTAAATGATTCATGTGACACTCGAGTAAATTAGGAATACATGAACGAACCGATACCATATCTGAATGAGAGTGATTCTATGGATATGATGGGTAAGAAAAGCTTAAAAAGAACCTGAAGTCACTGCCTATACTAATAAAATGCATCTTTCTTTTCACTTGCTCAATCATAGGAATTTCATAGTTAAGTGTGTTTTGCTGAAAGCAATTTTATGATGTGTTACCAACTGGGTCATTAGGTGCTGAATTCGTATTCTGAATCTTAATTCGATTTCTAGACTTGGGTCGTAAAAATAGAAAATATATATGGTCGTTGACACAACAGATGAATTAGAATTTACACATTGTATTGTAAAAATTTTAAAAATGTCAAGAAAGTATGAATGTTATACCAAACGAAATATGTTAGGAGTAGCAAATATGAAATAACAATAATTTTGGGTTACAACTTCAACAAAAATACAACTATCGTAACTTCAATTTCATGGTCTCCACAACATCGTCGTGATTCGTACAAGTGTGTTTTACCTTTACCTAAAAATAAGAGTAACGCGTGATTTAAGTATTTTAAGAAATACTCGGTGAATAACTCCTTGTTGAGGTTAAGAAATGCATGCACAAGCAATCATTATGAGACCTATTCTTTTATAAAACATCATAGCATCACTTTATGTTTCGCTTTCTAATCTAGATAAAATTGGATGTGTGATAGTTCCTCGGACACCGCTCAAACATAATTCAATGTATATCAGTCGTTGAATAACTTATTCATTTTGGTTGAAACTTGCTAATTGAGATAATTAACCTAATTTGGTTATTAACAAGTTAGGTAATGTTAACATTTTCCATTCATGCTTATAATTGAAAATTTGATTCAATTGTAACTAATTATAACGTATGAGGTAAGTTTATGTTTAAGTTTTAACTAACTATAACGTTTATTTTTAATTATAACGTGGCTTGAGTATTTAAAAATACTGAATAAGTAGGCTGTAATCGAGAAAATGCAAACACAAACGTAAAAAAAATGTATATGAATGAATTGAGATCATTAAACGAGAACAATTTTGAAGTTATGACTAAGCAAGACTTAAAAGAATCGGAAGTTACTAGATATATCAGTAAGGTGCCCATTTTTTTTAACCGTCAAATTATAGGAACTTCAAAATTAAGTGTATTTTCCTTAGAACAATTCTAAGTTGGATGATACTCTGAAGATTTTTGTTGTATGTGAGTGAGGACAAAACATGTTGAAAGGACTCGTGTTAGTTGGTGGGATGATTTCACTCTTAGGAACAAAAAGTAAGTAATGTGATTATATCGAGGGGATACAGAAAAATATTGTGACACGCAGGTGCCGAATATGAATTCTAAATCCTGATTCAAATCTTGGGCATTGAACATTCCCCATATTATAAAAATCGAGAGGAAGTAGACATAATTTTTACGAAATTTCAAATTTCAAATAGCTATCAAATCACGACAGGGATGGCATATTCGGGAAGCTCAATAATAATACCAATTGTCTTCGTTACCTACCCAAGTAATTGACAAAACTACAATGACTAAAGACAGTCTTTTCAAATCCATGTTCGCTTCTAAAATTTCGATGTAAATTAATATTTTTAAAAAATAAATGGTTGAAATGTATTAGTTATATTATATTCTCGTTCGTGGCATTTTTCTTGATGAATGAAATAATGAATTTGTCCACATCAAAATCATGAACATGTCGATATCAAACTCATAAACGTGTACGAACATCAATAGAAATTTAATACCTTTTCTATGCTTGATCCATCCTTATCTTGGTGTCTACTATAGCCCATAGTTTTTTTTTATTCCAATTTGCAAACCAAGTTCTTGCCTTGTTTCACGTGTTTTATTCATCTCTATTAGACCATATAACGTTGAAGAACATCGTATTTTCACTTTTCACGAAAAACTATGCCAAATCCATCACGACTTCAACTAGGTGACATAATGTATGTACTTCTTTGCCTAACTGTGATGTTAAATTTCAATCAATATTCCGATATTACGATATTCCTTCAGTAGTTTTTTTGGTGATTAATTCAAGTATAACTCAGGTTTAGAATTCAGATTTGGCGCCTAATGGTCTTGAGATTTCCCTACATCAACCGTAAGCGGACTCAAATTCTTAACTTTTCAAAAACAAAACCGAAAAAATATAACCCAATACAACGTTTATATTTTGATATTTTGAGTAAGATAATTCTAATGGGTGGGATTCTTCAATTATTTGTACACCGCTATTTTAAACTTGGAGATTAAACAAAATGCACAATAAAAATTCCACGTCATATTTTGAGGACAACATTATCTCCGCGTGGCAGAATTTCATTGGTTGACAGGATATCCCTCCGACATCCTCACCCTCTACTAGCTAAAATAATCCTGAGCTTTCCCGAAAAGTCACTTTCATGAGTGGACCCCACATCCTAATCTTCCCACCGTCCGATCTGCCATCAGGTTAATCGGACGGCTAAAAAGCAATCCCCACAGTTTATCTCTCTCGTTAATCCCCGTAATTCGATCAGTCAACAAAGTTCTGAGTCTCGAAACAAGATTCCCAACTCAATGAAGAAGACGAAGCATTCTCTGTTTCGGACTTCCAAAAGACCCGAAATTTCAGTTTAAAAACCCGGTTCCCGACCCGTTTTTCACATAACCAAAAAAAAGAATGGAGCTTTCGATTTTCTCTGTATCTTCAAACACTTCAACGATGTCGTTTGGTGCAAGAATTGGGATCTGTTCCACTTCAACCTCGAGGATTTCCCATTTCCCGGTCAGGAAGCGCGCCGTCGGGAGGGTTCGGTTGCCGTCCGGCGTCAGGGCGTCAGCGGAGCCGAGGAGTGAAAGATTGGAGGAGGGACAGACACGTGGGAGGTTCACCGGACCAGCCATGGAAATGACCACACTGGATGCGAATTTCAGAGAAACAGAGTTCCCTGTTTGGGAGAAGATTGGTGCTGTTGTGAGGCTCAGCTATGGTGTTGGTGAGTCAAAATTGATTCCTTTAGAGATTTAAATTTGTGGGTTTCTTTTATTTTTATGTTTTTCATGGAGATTTGGATTGAAATCTGTGTTTTTGAGTTTGTTCTTGGTGTTCTTGAAGGGATTTATGGTGCAATGGCTCTGGCTGGAAGGTTTATATGTTCAATATCTGGGATTGATTGGATGGGCGGGTTCCAACCATCTTTGGATGCTATTTTGGGAGGGCTTGGCTATGCTGTCCCTCCAATTATGGCCCTGCTCTTCATACTTGATGTAAGCT